TAATAATAATAATAATAATAAAGAATTAAGCGCTCTCCAGCTATAGCAAGGCTCCAAGTCTCAGTGCTGGTTTGACTACACACCTAATTAATACTGAGGAGCATAATCAGCTCCTTTATAAATTCTGACATGGTGACTACTCTTTTGGTTTAAAAGCTTTAAGTGCATTGTAAGTGAGATAAGTTCGTCACTGGGATGTAGTTAGGAGCCTTACACTAATTATCAGCTATGGTCTGAACCACAACTTTGTAGCAACCCTTTATTAAACTTTCTTTTACACTTCATATACCATATGGTTGTAACACATCGTTCCTTCTTTTTCACCGCCTAAGATGTTATTACAAGACATGTTGTAAGTGAGCGCTCTATAAAAGTGAATTTAATAACACTTATTTACTAGGCATTTCAAGTGACAATTCTAAAGTCTCAGAATTTTTAAATATAGGACAAACCTCAGTGCATAGCTTTATGAGATTTTATTTGGATTGATTTGGTCAATAAAGCATTGCTTTTTGTCTCTACTTTCTATCAACTTTATGGATTCTTACATACTCACAGCTGTATTTTCATTCCCATACTGTAAACGTAAGTGAACTTAAAGGGCAGTGTCATTTCCTTCCTAATGAAAACAAAAGGTGAGGAGGTAGAAGAAAGAAAGAAAGCAGTGCCTTTAAAACAGATACAGATACAGATTAGTCTCCACATATTGCAGCTTTCACTACCTTTTAGACTAGTGAAGGGTCTGGAAAGACAAGTAGGAAGCCAAACCACAATATTCTGCTATCACAATGCTCTCTAGAAACTTCTTCAAGAATGTCCCTTTACAAGTTAAACAAGTGCTGAGGCAGGTTATGTTATAACCACCTCCCATTCCTTCTTACACTACTGCTGCTTTGTCAAGCTAATTATCTGAATTTTTAACCACAGCTTTTGATTTGTAATTGCATGATACTGTAGCTACTCTGCTAGTTGTACATAAACTAGCTAAATTAAGGCATAAAGATATATTCAAACATGCTGCAATAAGTGAAATGGAAATGAAATACACAATTAAGTCAAAAACTCATAAGTTCCTTAGGCAGTCATGTTACAGTTGCTGAATAATTAAAATAAAAATAGTTCTCCAACACAAAGACTGAAGCATTTAGTGTTGGAATATTTTAAAATAAAATACTTAAGCACAAATTCAGTGTTTACCAAGAAACTTGTAATTTGGTTTACTTTGGCATGCTTCATAAAGACTATAATTTACATAAACAACTGTGGGAAAGGTCAGATCTCAACTCTATAGCCTAATGTTCAGGGCTAAGTACAATTACAAACTGTTTGTCAGGGTCTCTCTCTTCCATGGTAATTGCTGCAACCACTGATCATAATATTAAAGGTGGGCTCCACTGTTACTTAAAACTTTGAATATTTTAAAAGAAAACAGTCACAATTATATTTGCAGAAAAGCTAGGTGTTACACATGCATAGGTTGAGTTCAAGACACTCTCACTTTACTTATCAAGTAGATGTACTGGTTTTGACTGGGATAAAGTTACATTTCTTCATAGTAGCTGGTACAGGGCTATGTTTTGGATTTGTGCTGAAAATAGTGTTGATTAACACACTGATGTTTTGGTTCCT